CTTTTTAAACAAATGGGGATGGGTATTAAATTTTGGGAATGGAGATGTGTATAATTTTAAATTTTTTATTAGATACGAGAATGGAGACAGATAATATAATATCTGCCCCATGCCTTATATATAATTATTAAATATATTTTTTATTAAATAATATTAAAATTTTTTTGAGTAATTAAAATAAATATATTTTATTTAAAAAATATATATTAATATATATTTACAAAAAATTACATAAATATGAAAAATAAATTAAAAAAAGTAAAAAAATAAAATTTGATTTTTATTTGAAAAAAATTACGGTATGAGAATTACCCATACCTATTAAATATATACGAAGATAGGAAAATGAATAAATTTAAAATATTCATTGGATATAGATACGAGAATATATATAATATAAAAATTTGAAGATAAAAACAAAAAATACTTTGCCTGTCTTATGCTCTATCCATTAACACCTTTATTTTAAGTATTACTAATCTTTTAAAACTTGATTTCTTTCACCTTTTCATCTATTTTTTTTCTCTCCTTTTCTCTAATTATATTTTATCTCTTTCTCTTTTTCTCCTAAACACGTGTGAGCATCACATGAGCATGAAAACTCATTTTAATATGTTCATTGATATACCCAAAAATTAGTGTAATTGGAATTAATATTACAATATTATTTTTATCTATAATACTATAACATTTAGAAGAAAATATATAATAATATAATATTTAAATAAATACATATTTACTTGTAATTTAATGATAATAAAAATCTATCAGATGATGTAATATATTTTTTATTTTTATAGTGAGATTACATTTGTTTATGAAATTAAATTAATTGTGAATTGAATATTATTTTCAATTACAACAAACCAATTCATTTACAAGTAACATCAACTAATATATAACATGATTATAAAAACAATTAAGAAAAAAAAACACCTAGTTAGTGTTATTATAATGATTTTTGGAGATTGCTAAAAATGAATTTTGAAAACAAAAGAAATGAATTCGTTACTAATCTTTTTTGGTTAAGTGTGATTGGTCACTATTAAAACTTATTTTTTAATAAAATTTTAAAACTAATTAAAATTTATTAAAAATATAATTTTTGGATCTACGAAAAAATTTACGTTCAAACTTCGATTACGTATGAGGAAGAATTAGCAACCCCACGACGCCTGTTAAAAATGGTACCAATTAATTATGTATTATCTTTTAATATTAACAAAAAATGGTCTTAATTTTTGGCATTTAAAATTTAATTTTCTTATTTTTCTTTAAAAATATATTTTTATTTTTTAGTAAGCTTGAAAAATAAGTAAGAACCTTATATTGAAAATTTTCCACTCTGACAATATTAAAAAGAATCATCTCACCTAAGGACTTTTTAAGAATCGCTACTCGAAATTCTTAAAAATCTTATTCTCGATGATTCATATTTATAATTGTAAAATATGATATCTATAATTTAAAAAAAAAAATAGCATTTTCTCAAAAACTCATTTCTATTCCATTTATAAAAGAATCAGAAATCTTTATCAAAAATTAATCTAAATGTTTCAATACATTGATAGCATTTTAGATAGATTTTTTTAACTAAAGATTCTTAAAGATTTATTACTCGAATTTCTTTAGGATTTCATCTTCAGAGATTTTTTGTTTGTTTTTTATAAAAATTATTAAAAGTCATGTAATAATATAATTATCTACAAATACATTTATTTTCTAAAAACATACTTTTATTTATTAAGAAAAATTGTTCAAATAAAAGAAAATAATTAAGGAATGAAAAATTTTTTATATTGAAAACAAACTTCTAAATATTTCAATACTTTGGTAATTTCTTTAGGATCTCATTTTCGAAGACTTTTCGTTTGTTTTTTTATAAAAATTATTAAAAATCATGCAATAATATAATTATTTACAAATACATTTATTTCCTAAAAACATACTTTTATTTATTAAGAAAAATTGTTCAAATAAAAGAAAATAATTAAGGAATGAAAAATTATTTATATTGAAAAGAAACTTCTAAATATTCTAATAATTTGACAGTTTTTAGAAGACTTTTCTTACCTAGAGAGTTTTTAGGAATTACTACTCGGATTTCTCAAGATCCTATTATCGAAAATTTCAATTGCATTTAAAACTATATACTGCAAATAATCAAGTAGAATATGCATATGAAAAACATATATTGCTTATGTTTTAATTCTCTTTACTTATTTTCCAATTATCACTAATACTTTTGAAAGGTACAAAGTAAATAAAAAATCTTATTGAAAATTTTCCTAGATACCTTGATATTTTAGCAGTATTTTAGAAAAATTTTCTCACCTAAGAATTTTTTAGGAATCTCTACTCAAACTTTCTTAGAATCCTATCCTTAAAAATTTTTAATCACTTTGTCCTTTCTTAATTAATTATATTTTTTTGTTTTAATTTTTAAACTTTAATTATATTAATTTCATTACTAAAAGAGTCATTACACGTTATTATTAACTTCTACCAAAATTTTAGAAAAATAGACAAATGAAACTTCTTTTTTGTATTGAATATTTTTCTTAATACTTTATTACTTTGGTAGTATTTTTAGAAAAATATTCTCACCTAGACATTTTAGAAAATCACTACTTGGATTTCTCTAAAATATCGTTCTAAAAAATTTTCATTCAATTTCTTATTAATAAATTTTTCATAAATCTAACATACATGAAAAGCAAATTATTCAAAAAGTAAATTGGAATATAAAATTTCAAATTGCATAAGAAATCAAGACAAATACATAGATCTACTCACAAAAAGTCTTTAAAAAATAAAAAATTGAAATTGTAAAAGATGTGTGCATAGCTTTGAATGATAAGTCATGCATGAAGAGAAGCATATTGGAGAACAAGCAATTTTAGCATGTATTGAAGCTTTTGTTTCTTATTAAAGTAAACTAAAAACTTATGGCTCTTTACCAACATCACCTTCCATGCAATATTTTTTATTCAAAGTCATAAAATGATAAAAAAAAGACTTTGACAAGTCTTAAACTACAAGTCCTAGCATTTATACTTTGAAAACTTTTCTTTTTCTTCTTTTTTAGTTATTGGTAAAGTTTTCTAAGGTCATAATGCTGTTGCTCATCCTCTAATCTACTTTTTTCTAAGAAACCATTCAAAGCACAAACCAACCATAATACTTATGGCATCAGTACATGAAAACAAACTTGGAACTAGATTAGCAACTATATCCATATGTAAATCATCAAACAAAAAAAATGGTCATAGCATTAAAAGTGGACACCAATCCAACTAAACTAGCAAACTTGCATCAAATAAACTAGTATATAGTGAGGATGAAGGTAGCAAACCTAAAAGAAGAGGGAGTTTTGTTCATGAAAATGACAACATCCACATGAAAGACAATGAAGGCTACCTTTGCTTTCCTTTTTTTCTTCAAAGAAATGCTTTTTTTTTTCTTTCTCTTTTTTTTTACTGGCAGCCTTCTCTTCTTTTTCGATAAACTCCCTCATTTTTTGTGGTAATCTTTTTTTTTCTCCTCTTCTTTCTCCTTTTCTATTCGACTTTTTTTATTTTTTTAGTTGTTCTTTTTTTCCTTTTTATTTTATGTCCTTTCTCCAATTTTACATGCTCTCTTCTTTTTTAGCTTTCCTAGCCTTTTCTTTCCATTCAGCAAACCCCTTACTCCTTTTCAATTAACTTTTTCTTTTTATTTTTCTTCTTCTTTCTCTTTCAAACTTACTATATTTGACTTACTCTCTATTTTTTTAGTAGCTTCTTTCTCTCTCTCTTTTTTTCTTATGTGTTTGGCTTTTTTCTTTCCAACTTTTCAGCCCTCTCTAACCTCCTCTCAACAGACCTTTTACTCCTTTTCAGTCAACTCTTCCCTTCCATTTTAATAGTTAGCCCCTCATAAAAATCTTATTCTTGGTGAATATAGACCTTTTGATGAAATCTCATCCAAGGGTCAAAGCTTTTTTTTTTTTTTTGGTTTCAAGGAACCACATTTAGCTATTAGATCAGGATCAATAAAAGATCTAATAATTCATATTATTCACTGTAAAAATTAAATTTTTATATCTTTCAAGCATATGAAAAGACCATTTTACCTCTAGAGCAAAGTTTTCAGTATTTAGATTTTTTTTTAGAAATCAATGTTTTCATGCTCATTTTTAGGATTTAAAACATAAAAAATTATGAAATATTATGAGATTGAGATATGAAAAATTTTATGAAAATCCAAGCTTGGTAAGGTCAAATTATGAAAATACCTTTATAAAGGTTTTTTGGTAATTAGAGGTATTTTCGTAATTTCACACTTTTTAGGGTAATGTTATAATTTCAAATGCAAAAAAAATCATGAAATATTATGAAATTAAGATATGAAAATTTTCATGAAAATTTAAGCTTGAAAAATGTCAAATTATGAAAATATTCTTATAGGGGTATTTTGATAATTTCATATTTTTCAGGGTATAACTGTGATTTCAAATATACAAAAAATAATAAAATATTATGAAATTAAGATATGAAAAATTTTATAAAATATTGAACTCAAGAAAATCAAATTACGAAAATATATTTTATATGGATATTTTGATAATTTTATATTTTTTCAATGCAATAAAAATTTTTAATATTTTAAAAATCATCAAATTTAACTTAAAATTATATTGATTCTACTTAGGTTTTAAACTTTAAAAATTAACTCTAGTTCTATTTATTTTAATCAAATTTTATGTAATTTTGACTTAAAATTTGCTCGTTTCATTAATTTTTTTATTTTTCATATATCGATATGAAAAGTTATCATTCATATGTTCTAACTTTTGTAGGAGAGGGCTGAGGAGGATGGTATCCAGTAATCCAGAAAGGAAGACACGTGTAATCCAGGTGGCAAATTAAACAAAGAGACAGCCTCTGTCAGGCTACCCAACTCATACCATTTTGCAAAACACACATACCCTCTCTCTCTTTTTCCACCGGACTCTCCCCTTTCCAATTGCCATTCCCTATCTCGTTCTATTTTCCCTCATCTTTCCTTATTACGCCCGCAACTCAATTTTTTTCTATTTTCTTCCTTCCTCTTTTTCTCTGTTAGGGTTTTATTTTCTATTCGCTTTTTTTTTTTTTAATAATCATAAACGAAGCTATGTCGAAGAAGAGGAAATCCGATGCTACGCGCCTGGACGAGGTGGATCGGAGCATGTACACCACCTTCTGCAGCGCGGCTAACTCGCTTTCGCAGCTTTACTCGCAGGCCATGAACCACCAGCGCCTCTCGTTCCAGGCCGGTGAACGTCACGCGCTGGTTTGCTTCTATCTCTATGTTTTCTTCCATTAGCTCTCTCTTTTTTTTTTTTTTTCCTTATCTCAGATCTCTATCTCTTTATCATAATTTTCCTTTTTGCTTAATTTGTTGGAAAATTGTTAATTTGCTAGGTTTGAAGAGGAATGAATTAAAATAAATGGAAAATTCTGTTTGGAACAAAATTGTAAGAAACATGATTATGTATTGAAAGAAATTAAATTGGGTTAGTATCTAATTGCCAATTTGGATTTGAGTTTTTGTTGCAATCTGGTAAAAGGGTGTCAACTTGTTTCTTTCTGCTAATTTATTTCTTTCCCTCAAAAAGTGGAAATTTTATGTTAGTTTCTCTACATTATTGAAAATTGAATTGTTTTTTCCCTACTTGTGTAATTGGTGTTGGGATTTTGCTTACTTTGCCTGTTTTTGCAAATTGAAGTTTTTGAATGCTGATTGAAGCTTATCAAAAGTTCTTTGTTGTTTGTTTATGCTGACAAAGTAAGATAAAACAGTCACATATGTTTAGAAAGATTATTACATTGTAGGGGGATTGTCCAAATAGCTCAAGCCTATATTGAAGAGCCATGAAGCCCTCAAACAAATATATGATAGCACTATGGCAATTTCAGAAGCTGCATGGTGGCTGCTTTGAGCTCCTCTAAGCAGTCATAGTTTAACAGTCACATATGTTTTAGAAAGATTATTACATTGTGGGGGGATTGTCCCAATAGCTCAAGCCTATATTGAAGAGCCATGAAGCCCTCAAACAAATATATGATAGCACTATGGCAATTCAGAAGCTGCATGGTGGCTGCTTTGAGCTCCTCTAAGCAGTCATAGTCTCGGCCGTGGAAAAATTGACAACTGTGGCAAGCGTGAACGCCTTTATTTGTCTTTTTGATATGAAACTAAAAGGCAAACAGTTTCCTAACTCTTCAACTTGTACTCTCATGATAGATTTCCCTGCATCTAATTCTTTGCTCCCTCTAATGTTATTTACTGGTTTGTTTATTTACGTTGAATTTTTCTTGTGGTTGATTTTCTTCCTTGCTTTTACTCCATTGGTCCCGTATTCTTGCTCTGCCTTGTCTTAGATTTTAAAAATGAACAAGAGCGTTTGTTCTGGATAGTTTCAGCCTACTATGTTCCTGTTTCTTCATCGAAATGCTTCCCTCTGATTGTAGGATTGAAATTCTTGTTTCTCCATTTTAAATATTGCTGTAGACTTTCATTCGGCTTTCACTTTTCAATTGTCCAGTGGGTGTTGCATCTAATTAAATAAATCTTCCTCTTTCCCTTTTCCCTGCAGGAGAAACTTTTTCAAATGGATTCTGAGGCAGCAAGAAGAAGGATCAAGGGTGACAACAGCTGATATATTTGCTTATTTGCAGGTATCTTTTGTGATATCTTGCTCTATTGTTTTGATGAATCTGTTTGAGTGAATTATTGTTCCTTTTCTTTGGTACCTTTCTCTACAACAACAATGTCTTATATCTCATAACTCTGGGGTTGGCTATATGAAAATCCAAAAAAAGAAATCATGTTAGGTCTTAGTTTTTAAATCTTCTTGCGCCAAACATGTTTAAAAAAGGGAATCTTTAGTACCATTCTCTACTCAATTTTTATTCTTTCTATTGAACTTAATGCTTCGAACATTCAAATAGTCCTGTTTTTGCATCATTCTGGTGAATTTAATTAGAGTTTCCTGACAGTTAAGAACTGTATGTTTTGGGGGTTTGAACAGAAATGAGTGGGAGGATGAGGACGGTAGCGTAGGATAGAATAGAAGAGACTGTTTGATATGTAGTTGATAGACAAACAGCTTAGGTTGTTTTCTTGCAATTTTTGTTTCTTCTACACATTTTCAAAATATGGTGGAACACAAAGAATAGTTACGTTTATATGGAAAATTGAAGTGACCTTCGAGTATTATCTTATCCATTTTTTTAAAAAATTTCTGTAGAATGAGCTTGAATATGGAGCAGAGGAGTCTCCAATGTCCCCCAGGCTGTCATTTCAGCACCAGCACCCTCAAACTGCAACACACCCAAACACTTTAGGTGCTCCTTTTGTTCTACTCCAATTTCACCAGCAACAATTACGCAAGGAATTCGATCTGGGATTACCAAGCAAAGAATTCCGTATTCTCAAATGCACTCTCCAGCCCTGTTCCGTCGTAGCCTTCAGCAATACACTCAGTCCAGGTGGTTACAATTCAAATAATGTTGTGTCTGCTGCCAGTGGACCTCGGAACAATGAGACCAACAACTACATTCACCAACAAAACAGGGAAGCCAATTCCCCAGGCACTACTGATTGCATGGACATGCATGCTGATAGTCCAGGCCGTGATTTCCCTTTCTGAAATTTCTCTCTTGTCATTTATTTATTTATTTTTCTTTTTTTTTTTCTGGTAAAAATTTCTTGTAAGACTGGAAACTCAAAATTCTCAATGTTTATGTATAATAATATATTATATATTTCTCTAATAGTGGTTTGCCCAACCAACGATTTTATATATTTATAAAACATTATTAACTCAATCGTTGTAGAGACCTAAAGTTTTCGGCCAAAATTTTGTTTTTTTATTTTATTTTTAGTTTTGGTTTTTTGGTGGCTGTTGGTCCTTGTTTTCAAGGGCTATTGTTTCTTGGTTATTCGGTTTTTTAATAGGCTAGAAAATTTTTTTTTTTTGGGTTGCAACTAGGAGGTTTTTTTCCTTTTTTCTACAAAGCTTTCTTTTCTTTTTCTAGGTTTTTGGGTTTTTCATTTTGCAAATTTCTAGGTGTAGGTTCTTAGTGTTTTTTGTAGGGTTTTTTTTAGGTTTTTTCTCATTGGATAAATGTTCTATGTATAGAGTCAAACAAGATCTAAGATCTTAAAAAATTTGGGATCTTTTGTTAAAAATTTGTTCAAGGTTAGTTCGGTTGACAGGGGGTTATTGGTGGCTAACAATATGGCTAACGGTGGTTGGGATTTTGAATTTGAAGATGGTGCATTTAATGCATCGAGATTTTTGGGCAAAGACCATAACAAAGATAAAAATGAAAGAAAAAAAAAAAACAGAATGGTGTTTATAGATAGCAAATGGAATGATAAGGGCACGGGTAATTATTTGGGGATGAAAGCTTAATTGTTGCACAGGTTGACAAGGATAAGAATTTTGGGAGAGATTATTTGTAGAAGAGTAATAAGGTAAGTATATTGGATAAGGTTGACATGGGGTGAAGCCTTCACTCTGTTGCCCCTCATAAATCATAACTTGAGCATCTCCTTCCTTCTTCTTTGGTACATCATCTTTCTTTGCAACATTTGTACCACTTTCCTTAATTTTGTCATTCTTGATTACATTCTCTATCATCTCCCAGAAATCACCATATCAGTAAAATTCTTAGTAGTATTTCTAATCATCTTTTCATAATATAAGGCTTTGAGAGTATTGGCAAACAAAACCATAGTCTCTTTAATCAGTGAGTGGTGGTTAAACTTGGGTAGTAGCATTCTCAATGTCTAGGCATATTCCTTAAAGTTTTCAGCATCTTTCTTCTTCATGCTTTATAAGGACAAATGGTCTGGAGCCAAATCTATTATATTTTTGTATTGTGACGAATGCTTTAGCTAGTTCCCTCTAACCACGGATGCAAGATGTATCCAATTGAATATACCACCTTGAAGCAGATCTAGTGAGACTATCTTGAAAAATATGGATGAATAGCTTTTTTTATATATGCATATGCGATCATCTTATGATAGTGCAGAGTGACATGCATTATGGGGCATTTAGTTCTATCATACTTTTCAAATTTAGACACTTTAAACTTGGGTGGAATGACCACATCAGGAACCAAGTACAATTTAGCAGCATCCATTGAACTATAAAAATTCATCCCCTTAATAACTCAAAGCCTTTCTTCAATAAAATCCATTCTGTTAAGATCTAAAGCCTTTCTTGGCTTTTACTATGTTTGTGTTTAACTTTTCTTTTTTCTTTGGATCATCCAGATAAGAAACTTGAGTTGGATCAAGAATATGAGCCATGTGGGTAAGAATAGCAGTTAAAAGCATGTCAATATGTATGTTAGGCTAGCTTGCCGTAAATAGCATTTGATTGTGGGCCTTTTGATATGTCTGTTTGGAATATGTAAGTGGGTATATTGGATCATCAATCTTTTTAGCCACTACTTTCCCTTTGTTCAAATTCTTTAGCAATTCAACCATATCTTTTAATTGCCTTTTTATCTCTTCTTATGCCCTTTCCATCTTTTGGAAGCGAAAAACTTGTTCTTCTACCATAATTCTAGATTGATATGGAGATTGAGCTATCCTTGAACTTTTTTACCATAATTAGGATAATATATTACTAGATGCCAAGAATCATTCTAACTTGTTAGAAACATTCTTTTACATGCGTAAATGGATAGATTAATGCACATATTTAATGTGATACACAACAATTCAATGGTGTATGAATGGATAGATAAATGCATGCACATAACAATTTAATGATGCATGGATTGACAAATAACTGCATGAATGGATACATGAGTTAATGTTTGCCCCATAATGATGCACGAATGAACAAATGATTGCCTTGGTTAACATGACTATTTTATGATGCATGAATGGATGAATGCATACATTAGATGCTATATACAAAAAAATTCAATGATGCATGGATGAATGCGTTAATGTTTGCCACATAAAAATGCATGAAAAACTAAATTAACCCAAACTCTTTCAACTTTATCACAAAATTCATACAAATGAAACTACCAAAGTTCCTTCCTGTGTCCTAACTTAAGTATATTCTAACAATGGGTGGACATAGCTCTAACCTAAGGTTGGCTTTTTAGGGTTTTTCTATATGTAAGGTTAGGCTTCAAATGGAAAGGATTCCATTTTAGTGAAAGTTTTTGCTAGCTCACATAGAGGTTATCACCTCATGAAAATGTAGGTACTTGCTCTCTCCTAATAGAGGACAAAGTTTGGGTATAAAGCCTTATGCATGAAATGTATGTGCTGTGTGTGTTAAGAAATATAAAATTAATTTAACAAACTTTCCTATTCAAATAAATAAAAACAAAAGAATAAAAAATTAGTAAACAAGAAGAAATAACAAAAATACTTAAATTAAGCCATCAAAATAAGGCTTTAAATAATTTAAGATTAAAATTGGCTTAACTCTCTAAATCCCCAGTAGAGTTATCAAACTGTTATAATATATATATCATAGAACTCACCCATTGGATACAAAACATAGAATACAATAATCTTTTTTTTTTTTTTTACCTTGGTGTGATTGGTCACCTAAGTGAATCTATTCCTTCTAAAGTTACCCTAGCTTAACTAAAAGTCCTTAAAAAGAGTAGGTTCTGATCTTCTAAACAAAACTAGGTTCGAGAGCTTGGTTACATGTAGGAAAAGTTATGGCACTCTTAGAATGCCATAAATTAGTATCAATTAATCTTAAATTATCTTTAGCCTTAAATGGTCTCTTATTCCTAATTCATTTTTATTAATTTATTTGTTTTTGTTAATTTAAATATTTAAATATTATACATATTTTAGGTTTTCTTCAACATTTTAGTCAACCCCTAAAAAATTTTTCACCTCAAGAGTATTTAAGTAACCACATATTTGTTTAAAGAGGCTCTGTCATCAGATTTATTAAATATTTATAGAAAAAAAGTTAATATACATGATCAAATGCACAATTTACAATAAATCAAAATAATTAATCATGAAAGAAAATACAATTTGTTTTAAATTTTAATTTTTTCATATTAGAAATAAATAAATTTTTTTTATATTTAGATAATTTCTAAATCCTCCAACGCTTTGATCGAATTTAAAAAAACTCTCTCATCTAGAAATTCTTAGAAAATTTAACGCACTCATTTTAGTAGGTATTACCGTTCTGTGCATATGTTAATGTAAAGGGGGTTTCTCCATGATTGAATGGCTTGTAGTTTTGATCACCCAAAGTATGCTAGAAGTCTCCTCTACCCATACTTATTTTACTTCATCTAACTCCTTTATGAGGATTATTAAGATTTTTTTTATCATAGATTTCATCTTCCATTTGTTTGAGGATGGGATATTGAGCTGTGCATTAGGGCCACCTTGAAATGTTAGTAGAACCACTTCAATTTGTCAACTTGAAATTGCATTTTTTTTGTCTGCCACAATGGTGTGAGAGAGGCCAAATCCACATATGATATACTTCAAGACTAAGTCTTTTACCGTTTTAGCCATGATGGTAACCACAAGTTCTACCTCTATTCATTTTGTGAAATAATTATTGGCTATTATCATGAATTTCTTTTGGGCGGTCACTATAAGGAAAGGTCCTAGGATATCAACACCCTACTGGGTAAATGGTCATAAGCTAAAGATTTGGTTAAAGGCTTCTACTAGTTGTCTAGGGATTTTAGCAAAATTTTGACACTTATCACATCTTTTACTAGCTCTACTGCGTCTTTTTTCATAGTAGGTCAATAGTATCCCTATTTTAATGCTTTTTGTGCTAGTGCTTGTTCACCCAAATAGTGGCCATATACCCTTTCATGAATTTCTCCTATGACATATTCTACTTCAAAAGGGGAGAGACACTAATGAAATTGGTTAATAATGCTTTGTTATATAAAGTATCTCTCACCAAAGCAAACCGTGCTACTCTTTTTTGCATTATTTGACATTCATTAGATCATAGGGTACTCATCTTGGAAGTATGCTTTAATAGAAGTCATCCAAATGTCCCCTTAATTCTATGCATAAGAAAATGGAAACTATAAGTACTTGAGTGTAGGTACATATTTTAACAAGATTTTACATGTTCTTGATTTAGATAGATGCTGGCCAACTTAGAGAGAGTCGACTTTGGTGTTATCAATGCATGAAACTTGTTGTAGGGTTATGGTTGCAAAGGGTTGGCTTAGTTGGTGAATGATTGTATGGTATTTGACAAATGTAAGAATCTTTGACTTCATATTTACTATTTACTTTACGAGTGACTAACTGAAAATCCTATATAGATAATCAAGTGCTCGACATTCAGGCTTGTAGCTAATTCTAGCCTTGTAGCTAAAGC